TTGCTAGGGCTTGTGCCCAAGCTCGGGCATCAGCTTCCTGATGGCCAAGGGACGTCAGTACCTTATGAGCTAGGACATGGAAGACAGTGAGGACTGCCTCAGACTCTTGCATGAGAATCCAAATGTCTTTCCACATATCCTGACCCCAGAAGGGCTTATTCATGATCATCCACCCCTTGGATTCCCATTAGTCAAGCCATAGTGTTAATCCCTTTAGAACAGCCCAACTGTCAGTGCAAAGGGTTAATGGCCAAGGCTCACGTAGGAACACCAGCCAAACCACTCTGAGTTCAGCCCAGTAGCTGCCCTGGTTTGTTCCTGTTTCCACCCAGATGGTGTCAGTATTGGGCTGCAGTCTATGTGGATGGGTTGCCCTGACTAGACCCATCTCTTTACCATGCATCAGGGAGAATTTCCTCCACTCCCTCTCTATAGGCCAAAGAGGCTACCACAGGAGTGGGGCAGAGGCATTTAGAAATTCTACGTACTCTACAGGGCCCAATAATACTGTATTCCTAGAGACAGTGGGCTGGTGGATAGGGTGCTCCTCTGCTGCAAATAGGCCTTGGTTAAAGTGGGAGTTTGAGCCACAGCAGGAGTGGGTTGATGGAACACATTACTAATCCACCGCTTGATAAGAAGGGAAGTTCCTACCATGGCATGCTGTTCTTTCATGAGACGGTCTGCCTGGAGGAGTGCTGTGTCCACTGCTGGGAGTTGTTACTCTGTGGACATATATCAGGTTTCTGCTCCCTTCCACAGCTGGGACCAAAATCCTAGGGGTATTCTCTCCTTCTCTTGTCTCTGCCACAGTGCCCATCCTATATCTTCCAGAGTCACAGACACATCTAACTCAGATGGAAGCCCAGAGCTTCAATCGGCTTCACCAGTATTTTTGCTTTCTCAAAGGCAGCTTGCTACACTGATACTCATTCTCACATGTGTCTTTTCTTTGTCAGGTGGTATAGGAGATGGCGGCCCTGTGACAGGCCCTTCAACATAAGACAAGTCCTTCAAAATCCCCAAATCCTCACAAACTCTTGTACCTCTCTCATGTCCTGAGGGGTTAGATAGGCTTGCACCTTATCAATCACAGTGTCTTGGACAACATGTGTCTTTACCCAACCAAAGGACTCCCCAAAACTTTATGGCAGTGCCTGGGTCTTAAAATTCTGTGGGTTCACTGCCAATCCTCTCCATCACAAATGTTCCAGAAATGTCTACAGGGTGTCCTGCAGGAGAGGCAAGTCTTTATATGAAAACATTGTATCATCAATGTAATGGACCCATTTTAGTGATGTGGGAAAGGAGAACAGGGACAGATCTTTGGCTCGCATCGCATGAGATATGGTAGGGCTGTGCAGGCAGCCTTGCGGAAACACTTGAAAGGTTCATTGTTGCCTCTCTCTCATAAAGACAAAAATCACCCTCTGACTTAGCAGCCAAGGTTTTACTGAAAAAATCATTTACTAAATCCAGTACAGCATGATACACTTCTAGGACCTTGGCCAAGGTATCTAAGATGATGGCAATACAGGAAACAGCCACATGGCTGGCGGAGGGCAGGGGGGAGGGTCACTACCTTATTCAATTCTTGGTAGTCAGTGATCATCCACCATGATCCATGTGGCTTTTTTACTGGTCCTACCAGGCTATTAGGAGCACTACGGGCAGGGCATACAATATCCACTTGGTGTAGTTCTTAGATAGTTTCTCCTCTTTCTTTATGCCCCCCAACCCTAGGCAATTTATATTGTTTGACAGTTACCGCTTTTCATTGGGGTGGTAGATTTACTAGTTTCAGTTGTTGTTTTCCCTCAGAAAAAAACCTCAGAGTTTACAGTTTGATTAAGCAGGAGGCAGAGTTCACTGATAGAGGGAATTGCAAATGAAAGTAGCAATGAAGTAGAACACCTATTAGGAAGTCTAAAATCTAAAATACTGGCAACACCAAATGCTGTCGAGGATGTGGAGCAACAGGAATTTTTATTCATTATTGGTGGAAAAGCACAACCACTTTGGAAGATAGTTTGTCAGTCTCTTACAAAGCTAAGCAGTCTACTATACAATCCAGCAATTGTGCTCCCAGGTATTTACTTAAAAGAGTTGAAAACATATGTCAGCACAAAAACCTGAACTTGAATGTTTACAGCAGCTTTATTCATAATTGTCAAAGAAAAGAAGCAATCGAGATGGCTTCAATAGGTGAATAAACTGGTACATTCATAAAATGAAATATTATTCAGTGATGAAAAGAAATGAGCTTTTGAGCCATGAAAAGGCATAAAAAAAATCTGAAATGCTCACTGCTAAATGAAAGAAGCCAGTCTGAAAGGGCTATGACATCTGGGTAGGGAGGAGAATGAGGAGGGAGGCATAAGTAGAAGCACAGGGGATTTTTAGGGCAGTGAACTATTCTGTATCATACCGTAAACGGTGGATACATGACAGAATACATTTGGCAAAACCTGCAAAACTACAATGCCAAGAGCAAACCTTAATGTAAACTATGGCCTTTATTAATAATAATGTCTCCACATTAATTCATTGATTGTAACAAATGTACCATATCCATTCAGGATGTTACTAATAGGAGAAAGTCTGGCCAGAGGGAAACAAAGTACATTAGGAACTCTATACTTTCTGTTCAATTTTTCTGTAAATGTAAAACCATTCTGAGAAATAAAGCTTATCAATAATAATTTAAAAAAAAAAACCTCAAGAAAATCTAAACAAATAGAGGCCTATACCATGTTCATGGATTGGAAGACTCAATATTGTTAAGGTGGCAATTCTGCAAAAATTGACCTATAAATTGAACACAATTTCAACTAAAAATAGCATTATTTTTATAGAAATTGACAAATGGGCATGAAAGTTTATATAGAAATGCAAAAAACTAGATGATTCAAAAGAATTCTGAAGGAGAATAATAACATTGAAGGACTTGTAATACTTGATTTCAAGACTAGTTGCAAAGCTAGAACAATGTTTTGTTTGCAGACAATGAGGATGGGCAGGATTGTTTTCAAGGTCTGAAGTTATATCTGTCTACTTTAAGCTCAGAGTTGATGCAGACTCAGGGGAATTCTGCCTGAAGTGAAGGAAGGCAGAAGGAGCACATTCCTTTTGGATTGTGGTTCTTGTATCAAATAGCACAGAATTAACAGGAACTGAGAAACACTCAATAATTGGACTATGTAGGTCTGGAGATACTCTCAGTGAGCATCATGAATGTCAGCTGCTAACACTCTAGCAGGATTCTTAATCTTCTTTCCATCCCTCATGTCATTTTATAAGTCTGCTAAGATCTCCTTCCTCTCAGGCAGGCCCTGTTCTGAGGAAGAAACCTGACTCCTCCGACTTCCCTGCTACTTGGGTGTGCCCTGATACTTCCAACCTCACTGGAAGCGTCACAGAGACATGGGGTGAAGCTGGGTGGAGGGAAGCAATACATAGAGCATGGGGTGTGACTTCAGAGACCAGGGTTTCAGATTTTACTCTGTTATGGTTTTTAATCTTCACAGCCTCTCATCATTAGGTTTCTTTTTTTTCCATCTGGAAATTGAGGGAATTGCACCAAATGACTAGGAAATCAACTCTAATGTTCTAGGGTTCTATGATTCTATGGATAATTGAAGTGACAAACCAAATTATAAATGCTATTTCATCAGCACTGCTGAAACTGTACAAGCCACACCTCACTATCTTGGCTGACCTTAAAAACACCTTGTTACAACTTGATAGAGATGCTTGAAGAAATTCCGAGCTGCACCTTACCTCTCTTACTGACAATAAAGTGTTGTTCTCTGACTATGAAGATTCCATGGTAAAGAATCATCTGTTTTCTCTGTGGTCATACCACTTTCAGAAATATCTAAGGTGGTATTTTTAATGGCAACATTTGAAGGTCTAATTTATTATTTTTATATCATTCTTTATATTCTTCACAGACTCTTATTCATGATCTAATCCTCATATTAAACATGGTAGAGGAGTAGGGCTAATATTTTTAATCCTCACTCGTACACTGAAATTTAGATTAAGTGAAGGGACTCTGGGTCATACATCTAGCTATCTAGCATGTAAATAAAGTCCATGAAGGCAGTAATTCTGGGTACGGGGAGGGAGGCAAGGGAGTCTGTTTTATTCACTGAAGTTTCACTAGAACAGTGCCTGACAGAGTAGGATTTAATAAACATTTGTTGAATGAATAAATGAATGAATGACTCTGATTAGTGACAGAGCTGGGTCTAGAATTCTCTCAACCCTCAGCCATTGCTCCCTTAGTACTGACAATTGTTGTTCTCTGTTCTCATGCCCCCCACCCCCCATTTTCCTGTCTTTTCTGAATGCAACTGTTGTCAGGTTTATGGAAGCAAGGCCAGTGAGCCTTCTCCACGGAGGGGTAAGGGGAACCCTCGGCTCACAGAGGACAGAGTTAGGAAAGGAGGGCATTTATGGGGGACACCCCCCAATTCCCCCAAGGAGTCAGAGAAGATGGTCCTCTGGGTGCCTCTATCCCGAGGACTCTGGTCTCACTCTGGCGGCGGCGGTGGCAGCGGTGGCGACGGAGGGGGAATTCTCTGGAGCCCCGTGTGGCTGGGGCTTGGCGGGCTCCGGGGGCTGCCACTCTCGCGGTCCCCGCCGGGCGGCGAGCTGGCTGCGGCAGGACGCGGGGCGGCCGCGCTCCCCCTTCCCGGACACTGCAGCTGGGGCACAGCCGAGCGGCCGGCTGGAGGCCGCATGGGGAGGCGGGGCGGAGCCGGGGCGGCGGGCGCGGGGAGGCGGAGCCGGCGCGGGGAGGCGGGGCCGGGGCGGGGCGGTGGCTTGGGGAGCCCGGGCCAGGGCGGCGCTCAGACGGGGCCGGGCGCTCGAGCTGCGCGGGCTCTCAGCGGGCGCAGCGCAGCGGCAGCATCCTCCTCCTCCTTCTCCTCGCTTCCTTTTCTTCCCTTCCGCTTTTTTCTCTTCTCCTCCTTCTCCTCCTTCCCCTGCCCCGTCTCCCCTTCTTCTCCGGAGGGCACAGTCCTCAGGTCCGTGAGCGCAGGCAGCGGCCACCGTGGGTGCATCCAGTACAGGTAAGAGAGCCGTCCCCACCTCTGGTTCTGTATAGGACGCCTTTCCTTTCTCTGCTTGGCTCTCTGCTTGGAGGGAGTCTCAGCCAGGAAAGGGGTGGGAATGGGGAGGGGGCTGTCTCGTCTTCTCTGCCTTGGAAGCCGGCACAGGTTGGCCGGCCATCCCGTCTCCCACCTGGCGGCAGCTTCAGGCCCGACCTCTCCAGGTGTCACCACGGAGCAGGGGAATGGGTGCTGCTGCTACCTGGGCTCTAGATTTGTAGAAGAGTGTGTGACCTTGTTAGGTACCACTTTGAAACCCCGGGAACTTAGGATATCCATATTGAGAGCTAATATTACCTGAGCTGTAGAAAGACGAGGAGTGGGTTATACAAAGATAATGGGGGGGGGGATTCGAGGTGGAGAATTTGGGTTTTTTGTCCATCTAGCTGGAGGGAACTGCACACTGACGAAGGAGTTAGAGAAGCCTTGTCAATTGGAAATCATTTTCCTTGTAATTCTTCCAGAAACAGCTGGAAGAGGAAGATTGATAAATAGAATTTTAGGAAAATGAAAAATCAATGTCTGGTCGTGTTGGAGGGCGGGACACGAAAAAAATGTCTGGATGAGCTTGAAGCTTCACACAGTCTTTCTCCTTCAGGTGATGGGGGGTGGGAAACCTCTACCTACAGTCCATCTATTCTTTTTATTTTTAAAGGCTTTTGGGGGCCCGCATTGCCGAGTTTCGTCCTTCCCCAACCTAGTCTTTTGTTTAAGGATGGAAATTTCAAGGAGGAGTGTATGAAAGGAACCAGGAGTGGGGAAGTGTTGTGTTTGGGTGTGTGTAGGGGAGGGGACGGGGTAGTAAAGCAGATGGGGTCAGAAAAAAAGCATCTTTGAAAACTGAAATTGATGTTATATTGCCTGGCGTCGAGACTTCAGGATTTTTGTCAGAAAATAAAAAGCTTTCATTAGCAACAAGCCCGTTTATAACAATCGCTGTTGCCATCTGCTGTAAGCCCTTAGCATAATGCTTCCAGGATATAGACATTTAAAACTGACACAATGTGAAGGGTTTTTGTTTATATGCATACACGTACATACTCATGCACATGTGTGCACTTGGGCACATCACACACACACATGCATATATATAAAACACTATATACATAATATTACAAAAGGGAGTAGCTACTTAAAAGACACATCTTTTTAAATTTATCCTTGAGGGTTTGGGGATTATGGTGTGAATGAAATCTGTAGTGCAAAACAAAAAAATATTGTTGGGTGATATATAATTTTGAATGTGAGGCCGAAGGATTAATGGATGTTGGCAAGGAACTAACTCAAATGTTAAAGGTATAATTTATTTAAAAATGGTCGATCCAGGAGAGGAAATGACTGCAAACTGAAATTGAGGTTTGCAGCCACAGTGAGGCGATGGAGAACAAAGCCTTTTATGTGAGCTACATTATGCAAAATGTCCCATGCTTGAGCTTCAGGTACCAGCCCAGTATAAAGCGTAGCTCTGTCACCCTGTCATTTCACTCTGGGTGATTATATTTTTTGGCAGTGAAAATAGATTAAATAAATAAAAGCCCTTTAGAATGCCCAAGAGGAAGATTATAGCCTTTCACTTGAATGTGACACAAAACACCCATTTAACTGGGCAATAGGTGTATTTTGGTAGAAATCTTTGTGAATTTGTAAATCCTTTATGCACAAAAAGCATCCTCCCTCCAAGGAAAGGTAAGTGGCATTTTTTCTTTGAATAAAGAATATTATATTTGTGTGTGTATTTTAACACTGATTTTCTGGTAATTGTATTTGATTATCATAGGTTTACATCTGCATTCATGATTTGTGTGTTATCAGAGCTATTGTGCCTTTAAGATCATTGGTACATGCTCCTTATCTGCTCATGATTTATTTGATTTTAATTCGTAGTATTTCACTTTGCTGTAGTACTATTTAATTTCCAAAAGTTTTAAAAAATTTTACATGTAAGTAGAAAATTGTCTAGAATACATACATCTGGAGATCTAAACAATTTAAAAATTGAGCTTCCTTTAAACATTTTCTGATTATATTAGTTTTCATTTTCTTTGTGTCTCTCCTCTCTTATTCCCCCCTCCCCCCGCCCCAGCTTCTTGTCAGATAATCTGTTTCTTTCTGGTTGTCTCTGCTGCTTTAAGCTTCTAGTTTGTGTCTAGACTACCAACAGCAGAGATAGTTGTCGCAGGAATTTTGAATGTAGGATTCATTCTCCGCGGCAGCTCTCTCTCAGGATGACTTGTTTACAGCACCTTCTCAGGGAGGAGAAAGAGAAAGAATGTGCTGAGAGAGCATGACCCAGTGAAACTGGCACAGCCATTACCTCATCATAGTAGCTACTTCAGATTCATTGAGAGAGCAGCAGATCAGTGGAAACCAAACACCAAGAGCACACCCATCTCTAGGCAGAAGCCCTTCGCTTCCCATAGCAGCCTCTACTAATTTTGCCTTGCTGAGGTTAAGGGGATATTTTCTCTTTTAAGTATTTCTTTTCAGGGATCTTGAACTTGGACAAAAATATGCAGCCAGAAATGAAACTTGGCACAGAATCTAAGCCTGAAGGAACTATTTCATTCCTTTACCACTTTTGGCTTAAATCAATTTGTAAATTTTCTAAACATCAGAAGGGAGAAGGAAGAAAAATATTTGTAACTGTATTTTTGCATGTTTTCTTATGACACACACATATTTTGTGTTGAATTTTACTAGCAGCTGGATGATAGGCTGGACTGCTGTGCTTTTGAGAACTATCGTCGTACTGTTGGGCTTGAAAATTAAATGGTTATTATGTTTGTTTAGATGTATACATAACAATGTGTGCATCCCTAAATTATTCATCAATATCCTTGGGAGACAGACCATATGAAACCAACGTGGGGATTTTAGTATTCAAGTTGATTATTCTGGTTAATGAAGTCTTTTCAATTCTTAATTTCCTTATGACAGATTAAGATAAAGAATCTGAAATAACAGTTATAGTAGATGACAACACTACACCCAGGTCAATACTATACTCCTTAATGCTAACAGTAGTCATTAGGTAAGTCATTACTAGATGCATGAACCTGAAGATAACATTCTGAAACAGTCTTAAACTCTTTTGTCTCCGATACATGAGGTAAAGATGTTATTAAGCTCTTTGAATCCTATCTGATTCTTTTAGATATATCAGTTCTTTTTGCTACGTTAATTTGCTCTATGCCTTTATTATTGTCATTGTCTTGATCTACTCATTCGACATCTCTTACATGGGCAGTATTTTGATCATTTCACCAATTTTCTCTTCCCTTTACACCATTTATCTCACATTTGAATATTAGACTTCTCTATTACTATTACTAGTATTCCTTAATAGTATTACTCTCAGTACAAATTAGCTTTTAGGAAAACATTGATTCCTACTTACTTATTTTTCACTTATATGTCACCTATTAGAAATATCATACTGGAGGCTATGTAATGAGATACCAAAAAAATCGAAGACATGGTCCCTTGGTTTAAGAAATTTACAAATAAAGTTCAAAGGATTTATTTCTTTCATAAGAGATGACATTCAATTGAGTAGCAGTTGTATTGGAGATATGACACAGAGAGCAAGGGACTGCATTTGGACAGAGGCGATGTCCCGGCATCTTAAAGACAAGCTGTTATACATCAGTTATATAAATACCCTAATGTATACCTAGCTCCTTTATTCCATATATATTTACATATTTTTAATTAGGGAATGATAAAACATAATTCTTTGTGTGTGCATGTATGTATATATGCATACATAATGCAAATACTAATAGCCCCTCAAATACTTCCATCAGTCAGCTGTAGAAAGTCATGTCTTTAAATGCTGTATAGCACATGAAAATTCAAATTCATAGTTTTCTGAGAAGCAACTTTGGATATTCTCAAGGAATTATCACTCAGGAATTGATTCCAGGCCTCAAAAGCAGTTAAAGATCTATGAAGTCAGAAGTGGTAGACAAAGAACCAAAATCAAGGGGAAGGGTCTGTGGGAAAGTTTGCGTGGGTGGATTGCAGTAGTGGGTGGATTGCAGTAGAGGAGATGAAGATCAAAAGCAAGTACTCAGTTGTTAATAGTTGTCGATTCAGGATGGAGAAGAGCCTGTGTCTAACTGGGTGGAGAAGTAAGAAATCTGTTTTGTTTTTCTGCCTCCTCATAATATTTTATTCATATCCCTCCCTGTCACTACTTTGAACTAAGGCTGTAGGTGTTTCCTTGTAAAAATTTATAAAGGATGCTTCTTGGAAGCAATTCTGTAGTGAATCAAAAATTTTAGAGCAATGTGAACACAATTAATTGACTTTTTATGGAAAACACTTGGAATCTAATCTTTGAACTTAATCTTTCCTGTTCAAGAGAAATAAGCTTTCCTTTGAGTGATGGTATTTTAACTGTGGTACTTTATACTTATACATTTTAATGAAATTCTGTGAGAATTTAGACAAAATAAAGAGCTCAGGATTTCCTCTTTCAGTTGGTTACCTTATATTAACTTATATATTAACTTATATTAACTTATAACATTATATTGTGGGCTTTGGGGAGAGTTTAAAGAATTTGTTTTCCATTAAAGCACACAGGAGGCAGCAAATTTCTTTTTTTTTTTTTTGCTTTTTGTTATGTTAATAAGTCTTTTGGAGAAAATAATTTTACTTATAAGGTCACACAGCTTGACTTTCCCCTTCTTTCTTTTCCTTTTTCCTTCCTTCTTCCCCCATCCCTTTCTTTTCTTCTTTCTTTTCTTTGCTCTTTCTTTTCAGTTTGTGTTAGCGAAAATCAATGATCTTTAGAAAATGCAAATACTATATATATAGCCTGCTATTTTTATTGACATTTATTTCCCATTACATCTATATTTCTCGTTTGACACGCAGTAGTTTTATGCTGCCTTCTCTCCCTCCTCAGCACTCCATCCCTATCTTGGCTCTTTCTTTGGTCTTGCCTTTTATAT